ATTTCTCTGCCATACATCATGAGAAGAATGTTAGTGTTAAAAAGATGTGGCAGAGCAAAGCATGACTCATTTCCCCAAGGCATCCTACCCTACCCTCCTTTTGTTCAAGTAAGGGCATTCAGTTTGTTCAGTTAGGAGAAGCTGAGTTCAAATATGGCTTCAGACACTTAATGTGTGACCCTGGGCAAGTCACTTAACCTTTGTTTGCTTCAGTTTTCTCAACTGTAAGATAGAGATGATAATACTATACCTACTTCCCAAGGTTGTTGTGAGGATCAGATAAGATAATAATTATAAAGCACTTGTCATAATACCTGACATATAGTAAACACTGTATAAATGTTAGGTATTATTTCTTTTTCAGCTTATTGTCTATTTGCCATATTTGTTCATAAAGTGAAGGATTGCGGATATCCCTGTGGATACAGGGTAAAATACTCTATTTAAAGTTTTTTCAGTTGTTGCCCTGGTTATGCTCTCCTACCAAGATTTCTGGAACATTAGTTTTCTGGTTCTCTTTCTACCTGTCTGCTGTTTCTTATTCTTATTTTATGTGAGTAAATTATTTTGAGTAATTATGGATCTCAACTAGGAGGCTTTATAGTGCTCTGGGGCTTGATGAAATTAGTAGTTTTAGTTGCACTTAGGAGAATTTGGAAGACCTCTTCATTTATAGGAAGTTCCTTTTCAACCTGGATTCTGTGTTTCACTCCCTGTAACATTGGAAAATACATGCCATCTTCTATGTCTGGCTTCATATTGATAACGCAGTGGTTATCATACAAGGTTATCTCTCATGTTGTATATTTAAAAAAATTGTTTGACTTTGAAATATGTATGGGAGAATTCTTGTTGGAAGAGTGTTTTTAATGTGACATTTCCTTATGGAATCAAATGCTTTTTTTGTAGCTAATACATAATTAGAACTTTAGGGGTGAGGCAGTTTGTTATAGTAAGACCTGAGTTCAAATCCCATTACTAGTGCTTACTACCTGTGTTTCAGTTTCTTTATCCTATGAAATGAAGTGTAGGAATTTATGGCCTCTGAGGTTTCTTTCAGCTCTCTGTGTCTTATCTATGATCTGTTTTGATCAATATCTTTAATTCAATTATATGGTAATAAAGCTGTGGTCTTTTGTGGATTATCACTTGTTTTCTTCTTCTATCAGTTTTCTTCTAATACCATTATCAAAGATGCCCACCTTCCATTTGTGTAGATTATTCTCATAAAAGTTTTATATAAATGGTTTCCACATAAATGTTGGTAATTCTTTTATTGTTAATAATAATGTTCAAACAAAAGCTTTAAACAAATACTTCTCAAAATAAGAGTTACAAATGATTTACTACCATATGGAAGCATGGTCCAAGTCAGTAATAATAAGAGAAATGAGCTCTGAGGTTTTACTTCACAGCCAGCAAATTGCCAAAGATAACGAAAGGTAAGAAATAGTTAATGTTGGAGAAAGTTACTGAAAGACAGGCACACTAATACATTGTTGGTGGAGCTGTGAATTAGTACAGATACTCTGTAAAGCAATTTGAAATTTTGCAAACAAAATAGCTAATATGTCAATTCCATGTGAATCCCAGATTCCACTCTTGGGCTTATACCCCGAAGAGGTCCTTGACCAAAAAAAACAAAAAGATATACTAATACACCAAAATATTTATAGCAACTTTTTTTTTTGTAGCAGCAAAAATTAGAAACAAAAGTAGATTATGGAGGTAAATTGATGAAGAACCTCTCTGTTATCTATTATGAAATGTATTTGTCGGGGAAGATGATAATGTATACATACATATATATCACACTTTGTCAAGTATCCTTTATGAAATTGTGGAATTATTAGAAAATGTAAAAAAGAATAGTTACAAATTCAATTTTTGACATGTGAATTTTCTTGCTACAATTTTTAGTTCATTCTTTTTGTAAATTTTACTTTAAAATGTCTTCTTGGGTATCAGTGATCTATTAATCATTAAATCTGATGGGCCAAGAAAGTTGAAGACGCAGAAGATACTCTATATGAAGTTTTTTCAATTGTTGCCCTGGATATTCTCTCCTACCAAGATTTCTGGAACATTGGCTTCTTGGTTCTCTTTCTACCTGTCTGTTTTTCCTTAGTCTTATTTTATGTTAATTATGCATCTCTCATGACCTAAGCATGTATGTTCCTATTAACTTTGTTGAAAGCTCTGTTCTTTTTTCCTGTACATTTGCTTATTTGTTGGTTATTTTTTGGTATTATAGGCAGAGAGAACTAGTTTTTGTGTATCCTTAAATTATTACTCCCAGGTTTCTCTCTCCCTTTCCCTCTCCCTCTCGCTCTCCCTCTCCCTCTCTCTCAGTACATTTTGTAGGGAAAAGTTTTTGGTCATTTAGTAAAAAGTGTTTATAAGCTATTGTTCACAATGTTCTGTTCAGCTTTCAATTTTTCTTGATGTTGCTTTTTTCAGCAGGTAGATCATATTTAGTCTTGATTCATAAATTATTTTTTTGTGGAAGAATTGAGATATTTAGGAAAAATAAAATAATCACCAAATGGTTACAAGATTCAGAATAAATAAACCTTATTTATTGTGATTTACATGAACTATTCATCTATAAATAGAAGACTAAAGGGAAAATGGTGCTTGCCAAAGAATACATAGTTTAAAATTATAACTGTAGTTTATGAAAAACCAGCAGCTAGTAGGACGAGAGATTGTTTCAAAGCATATTATATCTAAATGCCAATTTTATGCCTCTGTTAATACTTTCTTATGCATTTGCATATTCTATTTTCAATTAACTATTGCTGCTGAAAAGACATAATCCAAAAAGAAATTTAAATGCCTCATCCCCTGCCTTAAAAAATATTTCAGTTTGAATTGTACCTGTAATTAAGGAAGAAAATTGAGCCCTGGGAGCTAGGTAGGACTTCCAGCTATTGATCTGTGTAAACCCTGCTTACACTGTCAAGGGAGGAACAGTCAACTGCTGAGCTGCTTTGTCACTGACATAAGCTGAGGGAGGATTTTTTTGTCTATACTGTTTATACACCAGTCTATAGACCTGCTGGCTGGTTGAATTTTAAAGAGTGCGGAGGTTTAAAGACTTGTCCCCTGAGGGACGCTCCTGCCAGTTGGGAAGCGAGCTGAGGCTGTTTCGCAGAAGTTATGTGCGTGTGTGTTAGTTGAGACGAAGATAAAAAGGGGGAGGGGTGGGAATTTGAGTAATGAATGGAGAAGCAGTGGAGTTTATTTGAGTTTCAAAACTGTAACACGATGTATGATAATTTGTACATATTTCTATTAAAGTGTAGAATTGTAAACACTCATAGGTTTTTAAAATCTGTATCATAACTTGATTCTGAACACATAAATATTGTATAATGTTCACCACTAGTTACATCTTCCCAATGTGGTAAACGTGATTTTTGTAGTTACTGCATTAAGCAGTCTATAAATAAGAATGATTAGCAAATGAATAATTTTAATTTTCATTTTGCTTAATGTAAGTGGAGGAATAACAAATGATTGAATGAAAGTCTTCTGTGATGTCAATTTATTAATATTTTACTGTATTAGCAATTTTTATGTAAGTCTAATGTTTGTTTTGATTATTTGTTTGATTTGTTTGATTATTTATGCTGTTATATCCATGTTAAAACTGCTAGCAGGGCCTTCTGAGTATTTTTTTTGTCTTTGCCCCTCTCATAAAGGGATTTTCGCAAGCAAGACAGTGTCCCTGCTACAAAGGTAGCATATTGTCTTTTACTTTATCTTATTCTTTCTGTCTTAGTTTAAAGGTATTGATATAATCTCCCAGGTACTAGAATTATAACTTTATAATGGGTCACTTTCTGGTAATATCTTGAAATAGTCTCTTAAACTGCATTTTGTACTTCAAAACACTCTAGTTGATTCTCATTTTTGTGATTTTTCTCAAATGCAGACTTTATTGATAAAGAAGGTGGGAATAGATAACTTTTCAGTATACTGTACACAGGTTTTTTTGCCTTATTGAAACAAATATTAAAAATCGAATACTTTGCTCTAGATTAAATATGTAGTCCTGACAGAATATTTAAAGATATATAGAAGTAGAGATGTTTTTCTGTCTCTGTATTTTATATCCAAAACATGAATTAATTTTAAGTATTTTATTAGGAAATATGGAAATATTCCTCCTTTTTATATTGTCAGATTATTGGTAATTATTTGTATTTTGCTGCATTTGTCTGATGGACTTGTTTTTTCTTATCTTTAATTCTTATTTTTGTAGTTTTCAGCTAATGAGGCTATTTTCTTCATTTTAATGAAAACATTTTAATTTCTGCTAAGCCTCTTAAACAAAAACATACAAGATAGAAATACTGTATTATTTAATTCAATTGTCTTCATTATGATTTCTTTTTTAAGAGTGAGATTTGTAAAGAAACTTAGTTGTTAAGCTGTATCAAGGGGTTAACTATGTAAATGCCTTTTTTTAAACCAGTGGAATATCTTTTTTTAAACATTTGACTGTGAAACATGTAGAGTTGTTATACCTCTCAGTAATTCATTCGGCTGCCAACTTCATTCCCCTTTCTCTGCCTGCATTTTAATTGAAACAACATTTATATTTTTGAGCCAGGATCTGTCAGAAGTCCCTGTGGCTAGTCTGTGGTACAAGTAGCAGCAGACGTGGCTTACCCATATGGTGCGGTGCTTCTTGTAAAATCCATATGGCCTTGTTGAAGGGAATCCCAGCGGGGATGTGAAGGGTGTTAATACCCTTCAGGCCAGGCCTTTCCCTCCTGGGGCTTCCATGGCATTGTCTTTGCAATCTGCCAAAGCACAAACATAATTCCTTTTTAATAATCAATTATTTTAGGCTAGGAATTTGTGCTGTAGTTCTTGGGGGGAAATCTGTACATATATGTTAAATTTTTTTTATGGAAAACACAAAAGAAAATGTTAATTGTAAAATTTGAAAAAGATTGATTAAAATTTGTTTTTATTTGCATTTATAGGAAGTGCTACAGAGTGTGCCAAAGTTCTGTTTCCCTTTTGACATTGAAAGGTACAGTATAATTAATTGAGGTAATTTTAGCTTTATGGTAATATGTCTTAAAAGCTATTTAAAGCATATATTTTCAGTATAAAAACAATTTTTGTTACTATATAGTATTTAGTCAACAAAACTTTTAAATGAAATAATGAGTATTACGGATTAAGGCACTTATTAAACTATCAAAGATTCCTTCTCATCCTCTTCCTTCTCCACAAACCAGTGTGGAAGTGTTAGTTGTCAGTTTTTCCCATTTTCCCCCTTTGTTCTTCTGGAACATATTGTAAACACTAGCAGAAACATTTTAATATGCACTTGATTAAAACCTTAGAATTATGTGTTTTGATACAGATCTATAGATCCTAGTTTCTGTCTCACTTGTGCCTAATTGAAAACACCATCTGTGTAATATAAAGCTTGAAGATAGTTGTCTACTAAGAATAGCTTTATGGTAATAGTGCATTGTACTAGGGGGAAAAAATCTGACAGGTTTGAAAATCTCTTGTTTGTTGTTCACTGAACAAATAGTAGCTGAAGTATTGAATGATTATCAGATTAGAATTTCTTCTGAGCGTCCTATAGTTCCTGATATAAAAATCGGATCATTTGTTAGTTTCTTTGTGATTTACATACATTATTAGCAAGTTCTTCTGAAATCAGCATTATATTTTAGTGAAGTGATGATAGATTGTTAAGATACTTGGGTTTTTAAGATCTGCTGTATTAATGATAAAGCCATATATTATTAGCTTTAAGGGACTGAATGGTTTCTTAAGAAGTTTGAAGGAAAAAATTCTGCTACTGACCAACTAGGTATTCTTTAAGAAATATCATAGAAAAATATAAAGAGAAAAGCCATGAAATGAAGCTATGGAAATTGGATATACAGTGTCTTTAATGAAATTGTTTATATAACTTTTAAAATGCAGACAATAGCATTCCTTAAAATTTGTGGTATTTGCAGTGGTTAAACTTATAGTATACAGGCTTAAATCATTTGGGAGCATCATTGTATCAGTAGTGATTAATTCATTTTTAGAATTCATTTAAGCACTTCAAAACCAAAATTCAAGAGTCATGGGCATTCAGTTTTGAAATATGGAGTCAGGTAAGGTTCTGTTACTGCCCTCCAGTGGCAAGAATGCAGTCAGTAGTGTTTTGTGTGTGTGTGTGTGTGTGTGTGTGTGTGTGTGTGTGTGTGTGTGTATGGGTGTGTGAGAGAGAGAGAAAATATGTTTGTGTGTTACAGATAACACTACACATATATTCATTTATTATATGTGACACAAAAATATAATTTTAGTACAGTCATTTATATTGTCCCTTTGATATAATAAGCATAGCTACTTATTACGCATATAATTATATAATTTATCTTATGCATTAGCTTAAATTGCTTGTAATTAACTTAATTTTCTGTACAAAATGCATTTAATTTATTTTTAGACACCTGGACTTCAGTAGCATAGAAGTAATTCTGTAAATATTTTTAAAAATATGTTGATTACAGTTTCCAGTTGTTGGTTTTAATAAGTTAGATTTTTGCAGGACTTTTTTGTGTGTCAAAAGAAGCAATTATGCTTTTTAAAATTGAAGAGTTTTCTTTTTACAAATCCCAAGATATTAATGAAGAATAAAGCAATATTCCTTTGAACTCTTGGGAAGGCTATTCAGCTAGGAATTGAATATTCCACTGGTGACTGATTAATTAGGACTTGGATGAATTAAATGACTATTGGTACAATGCTTCAAAAATCTCTAAATTGATCAGTGCTGCTACTCCTTTCATAAATGTAAATTATGATACTTCTATGAGAAAAAAAAAATTCCTCTGCTATCCCAAACATTTGAAGAGTCTTTAAAAAAAACAAAACAAACCTAGACTTGTCCTTAGAGAGTAGGCATATAGTATTTCATTAGACCTATGCTCGAATAAAGTTTATTCTGATTCCCCTTTGTGGCATGGAGGTGACCTTGGGTTCTTAAAGCTACTCCATGAAATCTAAAGTTCTCTCGGAGTCCTACTTGATAGAAAGGATTCATGTACCAGCATTGTGATAATTATTGGCGTAATAGTAATTGGAAAATCAGAGTTGTAGAAAAACTAAAAGCCATTTGCTTGGCTTTGTGTTCAGGATAGAAATAGAATTAAAAATAGAAAAAGCAAACAAACAAAAAATAACAAATATAGAAAGCCTTGCAATTGAATAGGAAGAATGCTGAACTTTAAATATTCTTCATAAATGAGAATCGTGCTGTTCATATACCATCAGCAGAACATGTCCTTGACATTGTTATTTTAGTTCCAATATAGTTGTATTGTTTTAAGTCACACTTTCTTCTGATCCAACTCAACAAGCATTTATTAATATCCTAATGTATACAAGGCTCTGATTTGTATGCCATGTGGAAATAGATGGTAGCCAAGGACAATACCACTTTACAGGGAATAGGGGAAGGGAATAAGCATATATATCACCTACACTGTGCTAAGCAGTTTTATAATCTAATCATTTTTCATCTTCACAATAACTCTGAAAGCTAGGTACTGTTTTGTTTTTCAGTCATTTCAGTCATATCCAACTCTTCATGATTCTCTTTGGGGTTTTCTTGGCAACAATGCTGGAGTGGTTTGCTGTTTCCTTCTTCAGCTTATTAGTTGAGGAACTGAGGCAAACAGAGTTAAGTGACTTGACTATGGTCAGACAGCTATTAAGTGTCTGAGGCCAAATTTTAACTTGTTTTTTTCTGACTCTAGGCCCAGCTCTCTTTCCACTGCACCACTAAATGCTTCAATGTTTTTTAGAACATGAACTCCTGGGTAAAAATCTTACAGAGAAAGATGGTGAAAAATAATGTGCCTTATAAAACAGAGGCAAGTTATAGAAGGTAAAATCACTTCTTAAAAAAGCTTAGTGAGATCTAAATAAGAAAAGTCATGCTGAGTGCATTTAAGGATGAAACTGGAATGGGGACAACAAACAGAAAAGAAAGATAGAAAGGAACTGCAAAAATTGTTATGATAAACTCTTTTCACCTTCAAGGAGAGAAGAACTATCACATTTGGAGTCTGACATTGTGGTCCTAGATTTCCTTGTAAAGAAGGTTGAAATGTAATTAAAAAAGAACAAAAAGGGCTGGCTGGGTGGGTGGAGGGAGAGAGAGGTGTTTGTATTTGTATACATAGAGGAGATAATGTGCTGGGGAAAAAAAGTCTTTTTGTGAACATTGAAGAATCAATTCACAACGCATTTGATAGGGGGGTGAGGGGTGGGGAGAAGCAGAATCTTGTACTTATAAATGAGTTGGACCCAGAATTAAATAGGAGCATGAGAGCAGGCTAGTTTGCTTTTGAGAAATTAGAAACCTCCTCTAATGACCAGAGAATTTTCAATTAAACAAAGGCCCATCTTTTTAATAGCTATACTAGTGGTGTTATATAGCTACAATTCACAGAACATTCCATTCCAACTCATGCCCTTATATATTGATACTCCATCAAACACTCTTTACTTCTCATTTCCTTAAATTATTCATTTCCATTGATGTACTCCTTCACTCTACCTCAGCTACATACAAAGGTGGGTCAGATCTGAGTGTTTTACTTTTATGTCATGATCTCTGAAATGTATTTATCTGACCACAATTTTTTATCATCCATTTTTCTTTCTGTTTAATGACCCCTAAACCTATTCATCATCCTTACCTCTTTATCCAGTGTTTCTACCCCTCAGTTCTTTCTTATACCATCACCTCTGCATAGATTACACCCTCCTCCTTTCCCCATCTTGACCTCTTAGTGAACCAGTTCAGCTTTACGCTATCATCTTCTCTTGAGTCCTTTGCCCCCTTATCCTATACTTAATCCTACTCTACCGTGCCCTAGCCACAGATTACTCCTACCATTGGCTGCCTTTACTCCTCTTCACGTGCATCTGATTGAAGTCAGAGAAAATTATTAAAATATACTGATTGCAGGAGTGTGCTAGCAAATGTTTAACAATTAACTCTCCTGAGGGAAAATGTACACCTATACTTTTAAATTTAATCTGTATTATTATTTTTTCTATCACTTTGCCAAGTCTAGACAGTCAATAGAACAATAAATTGGTACTGGACTTGTAGCATTTGCCAATTTCAGAGGAAGAAATGCTCACATTTAACATTCAACTCTTATGAGCCAGTTTGAGTTGACTTTGGAACACCCCTGCCTCCTGGATCCACTACTCATGTATGTACATAATCTCCCCTGGGCCCTCATTGTAGCAATGTAATGTTTTTACACCTCCCACACCAATTCATAATTTTACTCATTGCAATGGTTTTTTTCAGAATTTTCCATCTCTTCTCAAACCTCACATCAAACCTCCACCCCCCCAAGTTTCTCAGTGGAGAAACTTGGTATTTATTACACTAAAAAAAATTGGGAAACTTGATTCTTATCACACTGAAAAAATTCAATGAGATCTACTTTTCTACTCCTCTTCATCTCACATTACTTAGATATATTCCACTCTTGTCTCACGTGAATAAGTAGGCCTTCGTGTTTTCGATGTAAACCCCTCTATAAGCACAAGTAATCTCATTCTGTCCTGTCTACTTCGGCAGATTGACTACTCTTATTTCCTTTCTTTCACTAACCTGCAAGGTCTTCCTGTGTACTAACTGCTTCCTTGCTGCCTACAAACATAAGTCCACGTCTCCTTATCCTTAAAAACTACTCACTTGACTAGTTCATCTCCTCCAGCAATCATCCGATATTTCTACACCCTTTTGTAAGTAAACTTCTCAAAATGATCATTTACAATCAGCTTATACCTTCCTTCTTTTAAAATTCTACAGTCTGATTTCCAGTCTCAGCTTTCAATTAAAATTGTTCTTTCTGAAGTTCCAGTGACTTCTTAATTACCAAATCTAATGATCTTTTTTCAGTCCTCATTCTGCTTGACCTCTCTGTGTCCTTCGACACTATCAGTCACCCTCTTCTTGTTACTCTACTCTCTATGTTTTTG